GACCTAGAGACGCATGAAGCATACTTTCGTTAACCTTATCAATTTAAAAATAAGCGTACTGTATTTGAATCGGGGGAAGGGTTTCAGTCTGAGGTTAACTTCACGCTTACCGTCCATGCACGTATAGAGGGAAAGTAGAGCAGGCCGCTTTACAGGTCGACGACCTTCCTATCATTCCCAGGTCCATCAAACGGTGATCCAGCAATGGATTCCTGATATCTGCAACACCACGACGCAAAAAATAACAAGTAAAGTCAGTAAAGAATTTATTTACTTACCTTTTATAACTTAGCAATCGACAAAAAGAATGCTATTTGCGTGATAACATTCACATGCAGCCGACGAAAATAGTACTCCCTAGGATTCTCAGTAAATGATCATGACCTTTTTGACTCTGTCTAGAACTTCTACGTCGTCTTGGTTTTGTGAATGTTTACTTCCACTAGCTGGATTCAGTGCAGCAATTGTGCTAAATAATTATAGTTTTAAAATGTTAGAAATTCAAAATATGAGAAATACCTTAAAACAAAGTATTTTGTCGTACGAGGAATAATATTTACTAAGTTAAAGGATCATAAATGTAACCTTTTGAACCTTGGCTGTTTTGGTGGGATTTCGGAAATGCTTGTTCAGTAAATTGTTTATAATGCTCAGTTTCCTCGGTAAGTATTGAGACATCAACACGGAGGTGGGCTTTTGTGGGGCTTATCCGTGTATTTAAGCTGCCTAATCTTCAGATCTAAATAATACACGTCTTTGGTAACGTGCTTATCTTGTATGTTCCTCATGGAGCTCTAATCACAGTCCCTCAACACCTTTGTTGATCTACAATAGTATATTTGTATTATAGCTCCATGGACTGTGATCTTGCTTCTTTTCAGCCTTTCTGTCGCCAGGGGATGTGATCGATTAGTGAAAGTATATCACTACAACTAGCGCTGGGTTGCGAAAAAAATACCGGTACATCTATAAATCGCAATAAATCACAATACAGTACTAGTATCTTTAATTTATTCAATGAGTGAACACTTGGGGCGCATGTCACTCAGGGTAACATTGGTATGGTAAACTAAAATCAGACTATCGACCAGCTATGTAGGGAAGTCTCATACATCAGCTGTTTTGCAATTAAAATACGTACTGGTGTACAGATATCACATTGGCAGCAGTGCCCGTACAGGATGGCAAATGGCAAAACTTACTCGTGCTGAAGACAGGCTCAGTATTCTGCATATATTATTACTAAGGATTTGAGTCAGATCAGCTTCCTAAGTATTTTCCCCTACTGCAGGCTTCTTTTATAGGGTGCATTTGACTACATGCATGCAAATTAAAATACATGTATAGCTAGAATAGAGGATTGGCTTGCTAAAAATAGAGGACCAATCGATGAATCGAGAACTGACAAATTTGGTAGTGGAATAAACTACTTTTTATGGGAGTTGTATCATTTTAAAATAGGAGGTTATGCAGTTCAACGATGTCATATAATGCTTCACATGCTTTACTCAGCAATTTTTAGCCACATTCCAAAACACACTGCACTGTTTGGGACATTCCATTTTCTCTAAAGGGGAGCAGTGTTCTATAGTTCTCAATTGCACTGTAGCATCTAAGTTGATACACCACTGTCTTCAAAAGTAAACATGCACCAGGTCTAAGGATTAAAATAAACCCCAAATTAAAAACTTCATCAGGCCATAGTTTTTTGAAATATTGTTACAGCAAAAGCCTCTAATTACCAAATAATGGTGCTATTCAGCTGCATAATAGGGGTCTTTGTTTCCCATTATGAGTTTAATATGTTACCATATAATTCATCTTTACTGTAGGATATACTCAACATTGTAATGTGTAATTAAAACCATGTGAAAGATGAAACCCGTTTTCTTATCAAACACAATAAATACCAGGATCTCAGAAAAGATTTATTCAGCATTACAAATTCACACATGCACAATTTCAATAGCTCTCTCCTGCATTAATAG